CTCGTTGGCATGACCTGCACAGGTCGGGGGTAGCTATCTTTGATCTTGACTTTGATGCTATTCTTGCTGCTATGTATGCTGTGTCTAGTGCTGAGGGTGACTGTTACGTGTGTGTTCCGCCTGACCCTGGTATTGAGGCTGCTGCTCTAGGTGCTAGTGAGTCTGCTGCTCCAGGTACTCGTGAGTCTGCTCCTCTAGGTGCTGGTGAGTCTGCTCTCTCAGGTACCGAGTCGGCTCAGGTCTTGCACACCTTCACCCTCGACTCGGGTGCTTCCCGCTCCTTCTTTCGAGACCGCACCACCCTTACGCCGCTCAGTCGGCCGGTTGCGGTCTCCCTGGCAGACCCCTCTGGGGGTCCTGTCCTTGCTCGCTACTCCACTGTCCTCCCGTGTCCGGCGGCCCCGTCAGGCTCCCTGTCTGGTCTCTACCTCCCCTCGTTCTCCACGAACTTGGTGAGTGGTGCTGACCTTCAGGATGCCGGAGTTGACCAGTTCACTCCTGCACGGCAGCGAGTGACCCACTGCTCGTGTGCTCAGACGGGCCGCCACTTGGCCACGTTTACCCGTCGACCGGGGTCGAGCCTGTACACACTGACCACAGAGTCTCCTCCGGTTGCTGCGTCTGGTCAGGTAGCTGCGTCGAGTCAGGTGTTTGCTGCGGCGTCTCGGTCAGGTCCTGAGTCTGCCCCCTGCTCGTGTCGCCTCCTGTCCCACCAGACCCTCCTCTGGCACCACCGACTTGGTCACCCCTCCTTACCTCGTCTCCAAGGTATGGCCTCCCGTGTCCTTGTCTCTGGTCTCCCCCGGTCCCTCCCTCCCCTTCCCCCGGGGCCTGCCCCTACCTGCGTTCCCTGCGTCGAGGGGCGGCAGCGCGCCGCTCCTCACTCCTCCGAGTTTCCCCCCACAGAGGCTCCACTGCAGACTCTTCACATGGACGTGTGGGGCCCAGCCCGCGTCTGTGGACAGGGTCACGAGCGTTACTTCCTGTTGGTGGTTGACGACTACTCACGTTACACCACAGTCTTCCCCTTGCGCAGCAAGGGTGAGGTCACTGAGGTGTTGATCGACTGGATCCGCGTTGCTCGTCTCCAGCTCAGAGAGCGTTTCGGCTCGGACTTTCCTGTTCTGCGTCTGCACTCCGACAGAGGTGGGGAGTTTTCCTCCGACCTTCTGCGAGCCTTCTGCCGTGCGGAGGGCATCCGCCAGACGTTCACGCTTCCGGCCTCTCCACAGCAAAATGGGATTGCTGAGCGCCGCATTGGCATGGTCATGGATGTCGCTCGTACGTCCACCATTTTCTGTGGCCGTTCGCGGTTCAGTACGCGGCGCATCAGATCAACCTTCAGCCCCGGGTCTCCCTACCGGAGACCTCCCCTACTCTGCGGTGGACGGGGAAGGTTGGTGATGCGTCTGCGTTCCGTGTCTGGGGATCTCGAGCTTTCGTCCGAGACTTGTCTGCGGACAAGCTGTCCTCCCGTGCTGTTCCTTGCGTCTTCCTCGGCTTTCCCCCTGACGCGCCTGGTTGGCTGTTTTACCACCCCACCTCGCGTCGTGTTCTGTCCTCCCAGGACGTCACGTTTGACGAGTCGGTTCCATACTACCGTCTCTTCCCCTACCGCACTGCCCCCCTCCCCCCCCCGCCGCTCTTCCTCGCTCCCGGTCCCCCCCCGGTAGACCCCCTCCCCCCTCAGGGTCCTGCCCCCTCAGGTGTGTCCCAGGTAGATGCAGTCGAGCCTGTCGAGGTAGCTGCTGACTCTGGTGCGTCTGGGGGTGCTGAGCCTGAGCGTGCGGAGCCTGGGGGTGCTGGGTCTGGGGGTGCTGAGCCTGAGCGTGCGGAGCCTGGGGGTGCTGGGTCTGGGGGTGCTGAGCCTGAGCGTGCGGGGCCTGGGGGTGCTTCTTCTTGGGGTACTGAGCCTGGGGCTGCTGGGAGTGGGGGTGTGGAGCCTGTCGGTGCTGGACCTGGCGGTCCTTCGGGTGCTTTGTCCCGGCGGGAGCTTCTCTCTCCACAGGAGCTGCGCGAGTGGTTTGCTCGCCGCTGGAGCCGTGCTGCTGGAGCTGGAGGTTCTGCTGCTGCTGGAGGTTCTGGAGCTGGAGGTGCTGCTGGAGCCGGTACTGGAGGTTCTGCTTCTGCTGGGGGTGCTGGAGCCACGGGTCCCGGAGGTGCTCGTACTGGAGGTACTGGAGCTGCTGGGCCTGGTGGTGCTCCTGGTGCTGGAGCTACTGGTGGAGCTGGAGCTGGTGGTGCTGCTGGAGTGGGTGCTACTGGAGGTCCTGGAGCCGGAGCGGCTGTGTCTGCTGGTGGTCCTGCTGGAGCTGGAGCTGCTGGAGGTACTGGAGCTGGTGGTGCTGCTGGAGTTGGAGCTGACGCTGGGGGTACTGGTGTTGTCCCTGCTGGTTCTGGAGGTGCTGCGCGGCCGCGGCCGTACTTCGTTTCGCTCCTTGAGCAGGTTCTTGGTCTTCCGCCTTCTCCTAGTCCTGCTCCTTCCTTCAGTGTGTCCTCCGCCTGTCCAGACCGAGTCACAGTTACAGCTGGTCTCCCCTCTGCCTGCTCCTTCTCCCTACTCTGGTCCTACTGGAGGTCTTGCTGAGCGTCGTGCCCCTAAGTCGCGTCCTGCGTCGCCTGTTCGCACTGCTCGCACTAGTCGTCGTGTTCCACGTCTGCGTCCTCCTGCAGTCCCGGGTACGCATCAGATGACACTGCGTCCTTCCACTGCTCCTCTGCGTGCCCCTTTGCCGTCTCCTCCAGAGTCCTCTCTTCCTGCTCTTGCTGACCCGGCGTCTGACTCCCTTCGTGCTGCCAGTCCTACTGTCACGCGTTTCCTAGCCACTGTTGTCACTGGCCCTTCCTTTGAGTCCACTGCTGCATCTGCCTTAGTTGCCGAGCTTGTCGACTTCGCTGCTCACTGTCGTCTAGACTACGCCGCTAGTCTTGTTGCTGAGTCAGCGTCTGCGTCTGTCTGTCCTCCGTCCGTCGGGGGTGAGTGTGCTCTTAGCACGGACGTCCTTGAGGACCGACAGGAGGAGTTCCAGTGTTTTGCTGCTGCTTTACCTCATCTCGTGTCCACACTGCTTGCCCCTGAGGGAGACCCGGATGCACCAGACATCCCGACCCCGCGCTCTTACGCAAAGGCGATAGAGGGTCCTTAGTCCTCTCAGTGGCAGGCAGCCATGGACGCAGAGATGGCTTCCTGGAAGTCCACAGGCACCTACGTCGACGAGGTTCCCCCACCTGGGGCGAACATCGTCAGTGGCATGTGGATCTTCAGGGTGAAGCGGCCGCCGGGTTCTCCGCCTGTCTTCAAGGCGCGTTACGTGGCTCGAGGCTTCTGTCAGCGGCAGGGAGTTGACTACTTTCAGACCTTCTCCCCGACCCCGAAGATGACCACTCTTCGGGTTCTGCTGCACGTTGCTGCTCAGCGTGACTACGAGCTTCACTCCCTTGACTTCAGCACTGCTTTCCTACAGGGCAGTCTGCACGAGGAGATCTGGCTGCGCCGCCCACCTGGCTTCACTGGGTCGTTTCCTCCTGGTACCCATTGGAGCCTCCGGCGGCCAGTCTACGGTCTCCGCCAGGCGCCACGTAAGTGGCACGACACACTGAGGACTACGCTTGCGGCTCTTGGGTTTGCTCCTTCCACTGCTGACCCGTCGCTGTTTCTTCGCACCGACACCTTACTGCCGCCGTTCTACATCCTCGTGTACGTCGACGACTTGGTGTTTGCTACAGCTGACACTGCTGGACTCGCCCACGTGAAGTCCGAGCTGCAGAAGAGACACATGTGCACAGACCTGGGTGAACTGCGCAGCTATCTTGGCTTGCAGATCACCCGGGACAGAGCACGGCGCACCATCACCCGGACTCAGTCACACATGGTGCAGCAGGTCCTTCAGCGCTTCGACTTCACGTACTCCTCGCCTCAGGCCACTCCTCTGTCCACTCACCACTCGCTCTCAGCTCTGCCTTCGGATGAGTCCGTAGAGCCGAGTGGCCCGTACCCAGAGCTTGTTGGCTGCCTCATGTACCTGATGACCTGCACTCGACCTGACCTAGCATACCCTCTGTGCATTCTGGCGCGCTATGTTGCTCCTGGGAGACACCGACCAGAGCACATGGCTGCAGCGAAGAGGGTGTTGCGCTACTTGTGCAGTACTTTGGGCTTGGGGCTAGTGCTTGGAGGGCGGAGTCCAGTGGTCCTCACTGGTCACGCAGACGCGTCTTGGGTGGACGACCTGGCTACACAGCGGTCGTCACAGGGTTACACCTTCAGCCTTGGTTCCGGCTCTGTTTCGTGGCGGTCTACCCGCTCGTCTTCTGTTCTCAGCTCCAGCTGTGAGGCTGAGATCTACGGAGGGGCCATGGCTGCACAGGAGTTATGCTGGCTCACCTACTTGCTGACTGACCTGGGAGAGCCGCCTCGTTCTCCTCCAGTTCTGTACGTAGACAACAAGGCCATGCTGGCCTTGTGTCGGGAGCACAGACTGGAGCACAGAACGAAGCACATTGCTCTTCGCTACTTCCTTGCTCGTGAGCTGCAGCAGCGTGGCCAGCTGCGCCTTGCTTACGCGGCCTCTCAGGCCAACATTGCTGATATCTTTACCAAGGCACTTCAGCCTTGTGATCATCAGCGCTTCTGTACTATGCTAGGTCTTGTGCCTACTTGGCCTCACTTGCTTACCTCTTGACTTTCCTTGTACTGTGATCTATATATACCTGCACTTGCTTGTTTACCTTTATATATGAACTTGCATGTGATCTGGCCTTGTGGCCTTTGAACCGGTGCTCAGACTGTGTGGTGACGTTGTGATCCACCCTGAGCTTGCTTTGCTTTGCTTTGCTTGACTGGTCTTGTGACCCCTAGTTCTCCCCCACTTTGCCTATGGGGGTGTGTCAGATATATATGCCTTAGCCTGTGTAGGCTGTAGTGGGGTAGACACTAAGGGGTACAGGTTTCATATTTGTATCTCACACTTTCCTAGTTCAATTCATTCCTGTTTCTTTCTTCACAGGGCGGGGTGATGGAAAGCGGGAGAATGGGGCGGGGTGATGGAAAGCGGGAGAATGGGGCGGGGTGATGGAAAGCGGGAGAATCGGGCGGGGTGATGGAAAGCGGGAGAATGGGGCGGGGTGCTGGAAAGCGGGAGAATGGGGAGGGGTGATGGAAAGAGGGAGAATGGGGCGGGGTGATGGAAAGCGGGAGATTGGGGCGGGGTGATGGAAAGAAAGAGAATGGGGCGGGGTGATGGAAAGAGGGAGAATGGGGCGGGGTGATGGAAAGTGGGAGAATGGGGCGGGGTGATGGAAAGCGGGAGAATCGGGCGGGGTGATGGAAAGAGAGAGAATGGGGCGGGGTGATGCAAGGCGGGAGAATGGGGCGGGGTGATGGAAAGTGGGAGAATGGGGCGGGGTGATGGAAAGCGGGACAATGGAGCGGGGTGATGGAAGGAGGGAGAATGTGGCAGGGTGATGGAAGGAGAGAGAATGGGGCGGGGTGATGGAAAGCAGGAGAATGGGGCGGGGTGATGGAAAGCGGGAGAATGGGGCGGGGTGATGGAAAGCGGGAGAATGGGGCGGGGTGATGGAAAGCGGGAAAATGGGGCGGGGTGATGGAAAGCGGGAGAATGGGGCGGGGTGATGGAAAGCGGGAGAATGGGGCGAGGTGATGGAATGCGGGAGAATGGGGCGGGGTGATGGAATGCGGGAGAATGGTGCGGGGTGATGGAAAGCAGGAGAATGGGGCGGGGTGATGGAAAGCGGAAGAATGGGGCGGGGTGATGGAAAGCGGAAGAATGGGGCGGGGTGATGGAAAGCGGGAGAATGGGGCGGGGTGATGGAAAGCGGGAGAATGGGGCGAAGTGATGGAAAGAGGGAGAATGGGGCGGGGTGCTGGAAAGCGGGAGAATGGGGGGGGGTGATGGAAAGCGGGAGAATGGGGCGGGGTGCTGGAAAGCGGGAGAATGAGGCGGGGTGATGGAAAGCAGGAGAATGGGGCGGGGTGATGGAATGCGGGAGAATTGGGCGGGGTGATGGAAAGCGGGAGAATGGGGCGGGGTTATGGAAAGAGGGACAATGGGGCGGGGTGATGGAAAGAGGGAGAATGGGGAGTGGGGCGTACCAGGCAGAGTTCGGGCGCTCAAATCTTGCAAACGACATGGAACGAAACGGAGCCACTTGTTGTGGGTGTGGAAAATAGTCTAATCTAGAGGACTAGCATAAAAAAGGGGCATCCAATGCAGTGGACCAATCAAAGCGATGCGTTGGGCAGTCGGGGCAGTATGCGCACCTATAATGGGCGTACCAGGCAGAGTTCGGGAGCTCAAATCTTCCAAACGACATGGAACGAAATGGAGCCACTTGTTGTGGGTGTGGAAAATAGTATAATCTAGAAGACTAGTATAAAAAAAGGGGCATCCAATACAGTGGACCAATCAATGTGATGCGTTGGGCAGTCGGGGCAGTATGCGCACCTATAATGGGCGTACCAGGCAGAGTTCGGGCGCTCAAATCTTGCAAACGACATGGAACGAAATAGAGCCACTTGTTGTGGGTGTGGAAAATAGTCTACTCTAGAGGACTAGCATAAAAAAAGGGGCATCCAACGCAGTGGACCAATCAATGTGATGCGTTGGGCAGTCGGGGCAGTATGCGCACCTATAATGGGCGTACCAGGCAGAGTTCGAGCGCTCAAGCAGAGCAGGGCCGCGTCGGCGGTAGGGCAGGTCCGCGACAGCTGCTGCAGGGCGGGGCCATGACAGCTGCAGGGCGGGGCCGCAACCGCGGCAGAAGGCTCCGCGGCAGCTGCTGCAGGGGGGGGGGGCGCGAACGCGGCAGGAGGCTCCACGGCAGCTGCTGCAGGGCAGGGCCGTGACCGCGACAGGAGGCTCCACGACAGCTGCTGCAGGGCAGGGCCGCGACCGCGGCAGAAGGCTCCGCGGCAGCTGCTGCTGGGCAGGGCCGCGACTGTGGCAGGGCGCTCCGTGGCAGCTGCTGCAGGAGCGACGGTGGCAGCTGCTGCAAGGCGGCGTCTAGGGGCAGCCGCGAGGAACAGGGGCAGCCGCGGCGCGCGAGGCTGCAGCGCACTGCGCGAGCTGCGGGCGCGGCACGCGGGGCTGCAGCGCGACGCGTGGGCAGCGAACGCGGCGCGCGGGGCTGCAGCACGACGCGCGGGCAGCGAATGCGACGCGCGGGGCTGCAGCGCGACGCGCGGGAAGCGGGCGCGACGCGCAGGGCTGCAGCGCGACGCGCGGGCAGCGGACGCGACGCGCGGGGCTGCAGCGAGATGCGCGGGCAGCGGGCGCGACGCGCGGGGCGGCGACCTGGCCTGACGGGCCTGCAGGGGCGGCTCGCGTGCCTGACGGGCCTGCAGGGGCGGCTAGCGGGCCTGACGGGCCTGCAGGGACGGCTGGCGGGCCTGACGGGCCTGCAGGGGCGGCGCTCTGGCCTGACGGGCCTGTAGGGGCGGCGCTCTGGCCTGACGGGCCTGCAAGGGCGGCTCGCGGGGCTGACGGGCCTGCAGGGGCGGCGAACGGGCATTACGAGGCTGTAGGGGCGGCGCGCGGGCCTTACGGGCCTGCAGGGGCGGCGCGCTGGCCTAGGGCAGCAGTAGGCAGCGCGAGGGCTGCAGGACGGCGCGCGCAGCGCAGCACGTCACAAGGCAAGGCAGGCAGGCAGGCAGGCGCATGACAATACGTGGGGTAGCGTGGTAACCGCAACGGTAGGTGGGCCCGAAAAAAAAAATGGTCCTACGGACCTAGTGCTCTGAAACCATGTCAGAATCCAGCAGCAGGAATGATTGAACTGTGGAAGAGTTGGGTACAAATATGAAACCCTAAAGTGAGCTGTACCCCATATTGGCTACCCCACTACAGCCTAAACATGTATAGCAGATATAACGTTTGAACGACCTGAATGTCGTTGCATATTCGGGTGGCCCATGCTCAAAAACACCTACCAGAGCAAATCCGGCTTGGTTCGCGTGCACAGAAAAAAGTTCGGCGCCTGCGACGACGGCCGTGTCTGCCGACAAATGCTAAGGAAGCGCTCGGACCCCTGCAGGCGTAGGGAAAACCGTTGAACGGTTTGAATGTTGTTGCATATTCGGGTAACCCATGCTCAAAAACACCTACCAGAACAAGTTTGGCTTGGTTCGCGCGCACAGAAAAGTTCGGCGCCTGCGATGACGGCCGCGTCTGCCGCCAAATGCTAAGGAAGCGCTCAAATCCTAACAGGCGTAGGGAAAAGCGTCGAACGACATGAATGTTGTTGCATATTCGGGTGGCCCATGCTCAAATACACCAAGCAAAGCAATTCCGGCTTGGTTCGCGCGCCGACCAGAGCGAGCATCGTGACAGGTTTGTTGTAAGTTTTCGATATATATCTGGTAGATTGTTATAAGTTTCTTTAAAACAAAATTTCACGTTTTTTTTCATATATATATCTAAAACTCTCATTTATGAAATGAACATTTGATCACATGAGCTCAGTTGAACGTATTGAAGTTGTTCATGATAATTAATATTGCAATCGAATGTTTCTAAGATAACATATATATTTTTCACGATGTTATTACTCTTAAAAACTATGTAATCTGTCATACGAAAGTTATGCTGTTATATGTTCTATGTTCTATCAGAACATGTTTTTAGTGTCAGAATGTTATCTTATGCTCTAGCCTGTAGTGGGGTGCTCTATAGCGAGTACAACCCTTCTAGGGTTTCCTATTTGTATCCCCATTCTTGCTGGTGCATCCCTCTTCTTCTTCCCTCTTCTTTCTTCTAAACTCTAACATGCTATCAGAGCAGGTCGATCCCCTTGGATCGATCCTGTGGGTGGGCTTACCACCTCCTAGCTTCCGCTGCAACTCCTACCACTACACTCGGTGCCGCACGCCCCGTGGCGTGTGGCAGTTTTCTTCCCGCCGTGCGCCCCGAGGCGCGCGGCGGTTTTCTTCCCGCCGTGCGCCCCGAGGCGCGCGGCGGTTTTCTGCCCGCCGTGCGCCCCGAGGCGCGCGGCGGTTCTCTGCCCGCTGTGCGCCCCGAGGCGCGCGGCGGGCTTCGGCCCCGTCAACCGTCGCGTCGCCCTCGGGAGGCGCCGCGACGGGCGACGGGGACCCGTTCGTCGCCCCCCGTCGCCCGTCGTGGCCTGCGCGCGGCCCGTACAGGCAGCGCGCGACCCGTACGGGCTGCGCCAGGCCAGCGCGCGACCCGTACGGGCTGCGCCAGGCCCGCGCGCGACCCGTACGGGCTGCGCCAGGCCCGCGCGCCACCCGTACGGGCTGCGCCAGGCCCGCGCGCGGCCCGTACGGGCGGCGCCAGGCCCGCGCGCGGCTCAGGCCGCCTACGCGCGGTTCGGGCGACCCTACCAGGCCCGTGGTGGGCCCGCTCCTTGCTGCCCCTGCCCTCCCTACTGTCCCCCAGCGCTTCTACTCGTGCCCCACCCCTCCTACTCCCCATTCTCCTGTATTAGGGTTTGGGGGTGCGGGGTATGGGGGTGCACCCACTGTGTACTGTTCCCTGCTCCTCCTCCTCCTCCGTCTCCCTGTGCTGCAGCTGCCGCTGAGGGGGGGTGGACGTGTTGGAGCCGGTGGAGTGGTACTAAGGGGGGGGTGAAGGGGGAGTGGAGCTAGCGGTGTAGCAGCGGGTATGTGCCAGGGGGGAGTGGGATAGTTTGGGGAAGCTGAATGGAGGTTTCCGTCGTGTCGCCAGCAGCACCTGTATTCCGGGGACTTCGTCCGGTAGCCCAGTCGTAGCCAGCTGTGCCAGCCGCCCGTGGGTCCGTTGCTCGTCTGCCGCTACTTTAGCCGCGGGGCCTGTTACTCCTGTATTCCGGGGACTTCGTCCGGTAGCCGCTGTGCCAGTCTGCCTCCTGTTGCCTGTGTGTCTGCAGCTTCAGCCGTCGCCTCCTATCTCCTCTCCTCTCACTCTCTCTCCTCCTCCTCACTTGCCCGTTGTGACTACCACTAGCTTTGCTCATAATTGTGAACTTAAACTATTGCTTCTTGAACTTGTGCTCAGAATGTGTGGTGACATTGTGATCCACCCTGAGCTTGTACTCCTTTGCTTACTCTGCTGATTACACCCCACTTTGGCTATGGGGGTGTGTCAGAATGTTATCTTATGCTCTAGCCTGTAGTGGGGTGCTCTATAGCGAGTACAACCCTTCTAGGGTTTCCTATTTGTATCCCCATTCTTGCTAGTGCATCCCTCTTCTTCTTCCTTCTTCTTTCTTCTAAACTTTAACATTTAGCATTTGTTATATATGTTATCGAGCGTGCATTGTGACGAGCAGGCATCGTGACGAGTGAGCATCGTGACAAGCGAGCATCGTGACGAGGGAGCATCGTGACGAGGAGCATCGTGACGAGGGAGCATCGTGACGAGCGAGCATCGTGATGAGCGAGCGTCGTGACGAGCGAGCGTCGTGACGAGCGAGCATCGTGACGAGTGTGCATCGTGACGAGCGAACATCGTGACAGGTTTCGATTTATATCTGGTGTCAAAATCAGCAGGCAGGAACAGAAATGAGAAAAGGAATGATTGCACTAGCAAGCAGCTGGATACAAATAGCAAACCCTAATTTGGGCTGTACTCGCTATAGAGCACCCCACTGCAGGCTAGACAAATACAACATTCTGACACACCCCCATAGCTAAAGTGGGGTGTAATCAGCACAATGAGCAGGCATAGCAATAGTTCACAATTATAAGCAAAGCTAGAGGCGATCACAGAGGGCAAGTGAGGAGGAGGAATTGTGAGGGGAGAGAAGATGGGAGACGACGGCTGAAGCTGCAGTCACACGGGCAACAGGAGCGCGCACACAGTGGCTACCGAGCGTGAGAAAAGGAGAAAGCGAATGGATGAACTATGAATGAAGTGAGTACATATAGGAAACCCTAATTGGGTTGTACCCCCTATGGGATACCCCACTATAGCCTACACAACAGCATAAGCTATATATATGTTCTGACACACCCCCATAGGCAAAGTGGGGGAGAACAAGGGGTCACAAGACCAGTCACACAAAGCACAGCAAGCTCAGGGTGGATCACAAAGTCACCACACAGTCCGAGCACAACGACAAGGCCACAAGGCCAGTTCACATGCAGGAGTGCACACATATATATATAGAGCTAGACAAGCA